ACATCGGCAATCAAGATCATCCCAAAGAAGAATAGACAATGAAAAAAGAAATAGATGACAGATTAAATTGTCAACATGATTTGAGGAAACAGCGCAAAGAAATATCAGTGCGGGATAAAGAGGAATGATTCAACAAAAAGTGTGCAGAAATAGAAAGAATAAGTATCACAGATAAAGAAAATATACATAAAAAAGAGAACTAATGTTAAATAATAGGTTAAAGTATTTCTGCTTTGACTTCTTTAGTTTGACCTTTGCGGTCAGATATAAGGCACTATAAAGGAAGTCGATTTTGCTGAACTAGCGTTGGCTGAACTAGCGTGGGAATGATAGAGAAAGGCTTTTCGAGGAGTAGAGTCTAAAGCGTCATAAAGTTGTAGACGTTTTTCCTTCGTGTCTGGGAAGTGGCTTCCCAGTGGGGTGAGAGACTCCTCTAGATAGAAATATTCATACCGGCGTCATTAATAAAACAGTTCAGTTAAAATCCCTTTCTTATGATGTCTGTTTTATCTCTGTCCCCCAAAACATTTCGCTATCCGGCCGGAAGATGACAAAGAGAAGAGAGGGAATATACAGCATTTTATTAATTGGCGCAGTGACCAAAAGACCCGCATCACGAGGCGGGAGAGCCTAAAATCCTAACCGTACAAAAGACATTACCATGAAACTATTTGTAAAAAAAGACAGAGAGGCGACGGCGCGTCTGTGAAAGTGCGACTGTAGACGAGATGCCAGATCAGGGCCAATTATATTGCATATCCGCCTCTGGATCTTATCAAGAACCCCGAGGCAAACAGAAGGTGCTCCTGATCATATATAGCAGCAATACTCCATGCAAGGGCGAATTGTTGATTTGTAAATCTGAAGGATCGATTCCGGGGCGAAAAATTTCCTGGCAGGCACAGGGAGCCAACTTTCCTTACGGTGGACGAAGCAACTGACTCAATGTATTTGTTCCATCTCAGGTCAGCAGTCAACGTGACACCGAGCAGCCTTAGAGAGGTGCTCTGGAGAAGTTGAGCGTCAGACATTCTAATGGAGGGCAGGGAAGGATCTCTGTGGTGATTAATAGAGAGAAGTTTTGTTTTTGAGGCATTGAGACCAGCCAATTCCTGCCCCAGTTCACAACCGATAGGAGGTCCTTTTCGAGACGTACGGTCAGGTTAGTTTTGTCATCGACACTAGATTTGTTTTTGAGGCAGGAGTAAATTGTAGTGTCATCCGCGTAGATGCCAACTTGGGAATCTATCATAACAAATTTAGTCCGATGATTTTTCCACTTTGTCATACAATTTCCACAATATTGTTATTTATATATATATAAATATACATCGTTACGTTTATGAGGTGCAAGTTTTCCACCCTCACCACTCCTATGTCTTGGAGATTGACTTAGTTTTCAGAGGCTATTTGAAACGGATACCACGAAAGCATTTTACAGACAGTAGGAGCCTGTCCCGACTATCAACTCTGGCTATAATAATTTTTGAATCATATATAATGTCCCTCTATAATCATTTATATAAGTTATGTTTTTTAGAAGCACCAAACTGATAAACATTTTTTTCATGCTGTAAATTTCAAATGACAAAATAGCAGTTTCATGCACCTCCTGTTATAAGTTTGCAATTCCCATATAGTACCTCCATAGTTAATTGCTGACAACTTCGCTGTAGTCGTAGGGAGGAGGTGAAGGAGCTGAGAAATTTTAGTCCCTATTTCCATTTAAGCGTGAAATTGCCATTTTAAACATGGTCGTATGCCTTATTTCTTTAGAGATGACGTATGGTTACATGCCATGATTAAATCGTATTTCCTGGTGATTTAACTAATGTTTTATATAGACACACACACACAAAAACATACGATCAACTTTATATATTTCATTTATTTGTTGGGTTTTGAATATACACACGGCGAGTCCGAGCACACACTCACGTACAAACTTTATTTACACTATTAACTTTTGGATTATTGTCCTTATGATTGTTGTTGCTATTACAGCGTTTCGAATGATATACCCTGTGCTCTTCATCACGTTAATTAAAGGGGATTCTGAACTGGATATTTTATCTAGTTTACGGTGTTAGATTGTTCTCGTTCCACCGCAAATGTCTCGAGATATGTCGTCGTCGTAATGCGCTGTTATCTCTTGGCCTGTTTACAGGGAGTTCAAGTACACAACACTGACAATTCCGATGTCGACAAATGCACAAACCAACACTTTAATTCATTAAACTATTATCCAGTTATATTAGATTGTCACACATGAAATGTCGCACTTCATAGAAAAGAAATAAAACGCTTCTGAAGTGTTAAATAACTCATGCATTACGTCGTCACACATGAAATGACGCACATTATAGGAAATAAATAAAACGCTTCTGAAATGTTAAATAACTAATTTATTAGATTGTCACGTATGAAATGTCCCACATTGTAGGAACTGAATAAAACGATTATGAGATGTTAAATAACTGATTAAATTATCACACATGAAATGACGCACATTATAGAACATTTTAAAAATAACGTTTCTGAAATGTTAAATAACTAATTTATTACGTTGTCATACATGAAATGTGGCACTTCATAGGAAATGAATAAAATGCTTCTGAGATGTTAAATAACTAATTTATTAGGTTGTGCCACATGAAATGATGTACTTTATAGGAAATGAATAAAACTCATTAAAGATATTTAATAACTAATTTATTAGGTTGTCACACATAAAATGACGCACTTTATAGGAAATTAATAAAACGCTTCCGAGATGTAAAATATTAGGTTGTCAGACATGAAATGACGCACTTCATAGGAAATGAATAAAACGCTTCTGAGATGTTAAATAACTAATTTTTTTTAGGTTGAACACACATGAAATGACGCACTTTATAGGAAATTAATAAAAAGCTTCTGAAGTGTTAAAAACTAATTGAGTGAACTTTATAGGAAATGAATTAAAAGCTTCAAAGATATTAATTAACTAATTTATTAGGTTGTCACACATGAAGTGTGGCACTTCAAATAAAATGAATAAAACGTTTCTGAAATGTGAAATAGCTAATTTATTATGTTGTCACACATTAAATGGCGCACTTTATAGGAAATGAATAAAACACTTCTGTTGAAACTTGAATAAAGCATGGAATAATAATAATACAACACAAAATGTATGTAAACAAAATGTATTGAAACAAGGAAAAGGTTCACAATATTTACAGTTAGTTTGGTATATTCTTGGGAAGACTGTTCCTGTAGAATGGGTTGACTTAATCGCAGTCGGGCAGAGTCTCTGGATTGGATCTCTTCTTACTTCTCCCCTCGTCTTCCCGGTACCAACCCATATTTATATGGTCGGTACTCCACTATGTAAATTAGGTGGATCGTACCACAACAACTTCTGAGGTGTTAAATATCTAATTTATTAGATTGTGCCACATGAAATGATGTACTTTATAGGAAATAAATAAAACTCTTTGAAGATGTTTAATAACTAATTTATTAGGTTGTCACACATAAAATGACGTACTTTATGGGACATTAATAAATCGCTTCTGAAATTTTAAATAACTAATTTATTAGGTTGTCAAACATGATATACTAAGTTGGTTACCTTGTTGGACGACCCTTTCAACAACTAAACGAAAATATGCATCCTTTCATGTGTGACAACCTAATATATTTAGTTGATTTATCGATTCGATTCGTTTTATCACCCCAATGCGGATTATTTAAATCCAGTAAATTTTTTCTCGATTATAAGATTTTTCTTTTTTTATGCATATCACCCCAAGAAAGACCACAGTGCTTTAGTATGCATATGGCTCTAGGGAGTGAAAGTAGGGGGAAAAGACTGGGTATAGTGTGGGGGTTGAGGATAGGATAAAAAGAAGAACGGGAATCAAGCCACCAGAAGATGTCAATTGACATTACATTTAAATTTTTGAAGATTATAGTTATAAGGGAAGCAAGTAAGAGGAAGGGAGTTCCACTGTCGGGAAGTGCGAGAGAAGAAACTGTTGGAGTAGAAGAGGTGGTTATATGTAACTGTTTTGACAGTAAAAGGATGAGATCGAGATGGCAAGCTAGTAGCCCGCTCAAATTGATGCAGTCATGGCACCAGTGAAAATAGATCGTCAGGGCAGATGCCACGAAAATATTTATAAAAAAGACAGGGAACCCACATGACATCGTTGAGAAAATGACTGGAGTCAAGACCCTATGTCAGGAGCGATCACATTGCATATCAGTATTTGGATTTTGTCGAGAACCTCGAGATAAACAGCAGGCCATATATGGCACCAGTATTCCATAATAATTATTTAGTTATATAACTCTTTCTAGTTAAGTGGAGGGGGAGAAGAGGTGGATTCATACATTTCCTAAGAGTATTTGCGTATAAGTAAATATAATAAACCCAACTGGATTTGGAACACGGCTCCCAGATTAAAAATTGCAAGCCGTTATCCATTACAGAAACCTCACGTTCCATATCACAGCTCATGGCGTTACCAAGCGGCCACCGATCAAGGTTCGTATTTACTTTACTTCGGAAGTGGTGTTTCGACGTCATGTAGCCGTTAACCTTACATGAACCGGTACACCCAAGTTTACAGCATCCTGGTATTCCCAAGCGGTCACCCACCTAGTTATTGACCAGGTTCAACGTTGCTTAACCGGTGATAGTACTCGAACCGGTGTTCCAACGTTCCAACCCAAGCTTACAGCATCCTGGTATTCCCAAGCGGTCACCCACCTAGTTATTGACCAGGTTCAACGTTGTTTAACCGGTGATAGTACTCGAACGGGTTTTCCAATGTGATGTGGCCGTAAGCCCATTACACCACCCGCATATTCAAGCTTACAGCAACTGGTATTCCGAAGCGGTTACCTATTTGGTCTCTGACAAGGTTTGACGCTGCTTAACTTCGGTGATCGTACAGGAACTGATGTTTCAATGTGATATGGCCGTAAGTCATACTGCCCGCACATCAAAGCTTACAGCACCTTGTATTCCCAAAGAGTTACTCATCTAGGTACTGACCAGGTGTGACGTTGCTTGACTTCGGTGATCGTACGGGGACCGGGGTTTCAATGTGATAAGGCCGTAAGTTATACCACCCGCACATCCAAGCTTACAGCACCTGGTATTCCTAAACAGTCACTCATCTAGGTACTGAACAGGTTTGACGTTGCTTAACTTCGGTGATCGTTAGATGGCCTTGGCTGAACATCCATTTATAATGTAACCAAAGTATCGTGTTCATTTTATTTATTTTTTTCATAATTTCTATCAATCGCTAGTCACAAAACTTGTTATAATTTTGGTCAAAAGATCGTTGAAAACTGCACCGTGAGGGTCAGGTCATTTACTTGAATTGCGTCTGCTTTTGAAAGAATGGAAAATGAATTCCTAATTAGTCATTTTTTGTGTCTTGTTTTGTTTTGTTGCGGCTGTTCAATTACTTCTTATAATTTTTTTCTGTCGCATAAGTGATCTGCGATGTTCAGTTTCTTGCTTGCTTGGTGAACCTTGTTAGCACAAATTTATCCGTAATAAAGTGAGTTTTGAATTTTGCGTAATTCTTGGAGACGTCATTTTGTTTGCTAGCTACACGTGTAGCCTACATGAAACGAATTCAAACGAATCAGTGTCCATTAATTACAACACGAAACATGATCTCTCATATTTATGGGTTTTTTTTTCTCTCTATTAAATCATTTAAATTACTTTTACTTTTTTACAATTTCGTTTAATTAAACTCAAAATGAAGTTTATTTATATTATCATGGTTTGCCATGTTGAATTTTGAAGATTGCAGCTGCTACTAAAAAATGGTTAAGAACCATTGAATTCTTTTTATTCTTCTATGTGCCGTAACTCTTTATGATGTTGGCGATTATGTCTCTCAAGAATTTTGTTTTCTTAAACGCAAAATAAAACTTATTTATGAGATCAGAGTTTCCTATGATGAATTTTGAAGACTTGGATCGCTACTAAAATGAATTCTCCTTGTTCATCATCTACTTTCTTCTTCTTCTTCTTCTTCTTCTTCTCCTTCTTCTTCTTCTTCTTCTTCTTCTCCTTCTTCTTCTTCTTCTTCTTCTTCGTCTTCTTTGTAACATGGCTCTTCATGGCGTTGTCGCTCATGGTCTCTACAATTTCCTGTCCTCTTAGTAAATTTTGTCCTTTTGTTATTTCTCCTAAACAGTGTTCTGTCGTCTTTTCCTGTTTCTTAATACTTTCCTCAGCTTTAGGAAAGCATCATGAATAAGACGATAAAATACATCCGCGTCTTGGGTAAGACGATCAACTACATCCGGCAGCAAGGCCTCTGACCAGGAGATTTTGAGGTGCGTGAAACCACCTCTTAATTGCTGGTGTTCTCAGGTCCACCCTCACCCTATGGAAAAGTAGTTAACCCACAAACCCAGCTAAAGGAAAGCATCTATTCCTATCCCAATACTTGATATTAGTGTCGTGAGATTACAAGGTCAAAAAGATGAACAAATATGACATATACTTTATTATTAATTTAGTTTTATTAAACAAGATATTTCTTGAAAATATCCACAGACTTGCAACACTTATGGATAATCGTTTAGTAGGTTATGCACTGTTTTCCTCCCTCCATCTTGCCTTCAGTAAGTCCTGTGAGTTTCAAATATTAAACTGACCAGAATAACTGGACGTTTGTTGAAATACTTACATAAGATGAAGTAAATAGTGAAGTTTATATACAAATAAAAAATACATTTCTATATGGGTCCATTCGTTCACGATATTCATTTTCTATGTAATTCTTCAATTGAGATTTGAAACATATACATTTTCCAACCATCCCTCTTTCCTTCAGCATATCCTGTGAGTGTCAAATTTTCTAAGCCTTCTTTCCTCATTATGTGCCCTAGAAATTTCAACTGTTTCTTTCTGATATTAAGTGTGTTTTGTTTCCATTTTCACTAAATTATCGTCATGGCTCTTATGTTTAACCCATGGTATTCTCAGCATCCTTCTGTATACCCACATTTCTGTTGCCTCCATTGTTTTGCTCATCTATGCGGTCAGAATGTACAGCATTCCCCGCCTTAAAGAACGAGTGATATTGTATAAAGATTCAGTATTTTTTTCTTTGTTTCTAAGAAAATGTTTCTGTTTCGTAATACTTTGCACAGCTTTAGGGAGGCATATATCCCAATCCAATGTTCGATTTTAGTGTCACCTAATTACAAGGTCAAAAAGATGAACAAATATGATATATCCTTTATTATCAATTTAGTTTTATGAAGCAAGATTTTTCATGAACATATCAATGGACCTAAAACACTTATGGATAAAATAATAATCAGAACAGATAAACACTCCTATCTCAGTCGGAAGTTCATGAAAAAGGTATCTACCAACCTGCATTAATATTCAAGATATTTTACACTATTTTTTACCTAATACAACTCTATTTTTTATCTAATACAACACCGCAGAGCCACTCAAGTTGACAGAATGATATCGTTCTTTGGACGCAAACAAAGGCTGTATGAATTGCAGATTATGCGGATATATAGGATAGAGTCCTGGGTATGACGATAAACTACGTCCAACAGCAAGGCCTTTGATCAGGAGGTTTTGAGGAGTTTGGAACCACCTCTTAATTGCTGGTGTTCCCAGGTCCACCCTGAACCAGGGTGGTAGCACCTGTTAGGGTCCGAGGTATGGGCAAATAGTTAACCCCCAAACCCAGATCTCGGCCTTGGTATGACAATAAACTACATTCGCGTTTTGGGTATGACAATAAACTACACCCACGTCCTGGGTAAGATGATAAACTACGTCCACGTCCTGGGTAAGACGATAAACTACATTCACGTCCTGGGTAAGACGATAAACTTCATTCACGTCCTGGGTAAGATGATAAACTACATCCACGTCCTGGGTAAGTCGATAAACTACGTCAAACAGCAAGGCCCCTGATAATACGTTTTTGAAAAAATAATATTGCCAGCTGTACGTTTTTGAAAAAAAATAATAATATTACCAACTATACGTTTTGAAAAAAAAATAATATTACCCACTATACGTTTTTAAAAAAATAATATTTCCAGGTATACGTTTTTGAAAAAAATAATATTACCAGCTATACATTTTTGAGAAAAAAATATTAAAAGAAATGGAATTTTGACAAAACAAAAATATTACCAGGAAAAAAGAAAAAAACTTGTCAGCATTAAATAGCCCATTGAAGTTGATATGAACAACCCAAAACCAAACCTATATAGGATAGATAACGGTTGACCCTAGACATGAAGAATTTAAAATTGCAGTAATCGGGGTAAACTCCACAAAGACGCTGTTAGAATAGAACTTCCTTCAAACCTTTGGAATACGAAGAGGAATTCGAATGTTTTGACACTGACTACGTGGTATGACGAGTCTTAACTGCAAATGTAGTGACTTCAGGAACTAAGGAATGTAGCTCTTCACAGCGTTATCCCTGAAAATAGGCATAGAGCAGCGAATAACTTGCGACATTTCATCTGCGGGAAAGGAATTGTGAGGCGGAAAATTATTCATCATCCATGAGGCCAAGTTGGCGCATTTGAACTCAGTCAAGACCTGGAAAGAAGGGGTTGGACAGTTCCAGCACAGATATGACAACTATACCCTATTTTTGATCCGATCTGTCATGTAATCTCTGAAGGATTCTAAGGACGCGACCATCCTTTCCTGCTTTTTTTAGCAATGGTGTGTATATATGCGCTAGACTTGAGGTCTGGATAAGGCCCATTTAGAGACCCAAAGGAAGGATCCTCTTTGAGAGCTCAACTATTGAAAATGACTGGAGAGAAGTTAGGTTCTGCTTGGAGCTGAGGAAAAGTTACTACCTTTCACCCCAAGCAATGATATAAAGCCACTGAGACACAACTGATAGTGAAAGAATAGGAAAAAAGAAAAACAGTAAGGAGCGAGAACAATAAAAGAAGAGGAATCAAAAAACAGTAGACAAGGATTGACATTGCATTTAATTTTTAATTTTTTAAGGATCAACGTTGGCTGGAGAAACAGTAAGCCGGACGAGGGTATGAGAGAAGAAACTACTAGCATAGAACTTACGGATGTATTTATCCATTTCAACTGTAAGATGATGAGATCTTGTTGCCAATCTAGTACTGAGCTTCAATTCATAAGATCGAAGTAACATAGAGAGAAGTTCATGAAAGTATTTATAGACAAGGCACAGGGAAGCGATGGGAATGTGACTGAAGCTGAAATGCCAGGTCAGGATCAATAATATTGCGGATTCTTCTTTGGATTTTATCAAGACTTTCTAAATATAGAACAGGAACACCGGACATATGTGATAGTAATTTAAATCTTACCACATTATTTACATTATTCGGACTATTTTCCAGATCTTTGTCGCCATATTTATTACAACGTTTCGGCTGTTATACGTTCTGGCCTTCTTCAGTTAGTTGAAATGTCGAACTGAACCCTTTATTTCGCTCACTGTAGTAGACTGTTCTAGTTCCACGTGCCATGTTTAGTGGATGTCAGTTATCAGTTATCTAATGCTAATTCCTTAAGGACACATGGCACAGTGGATAAAGGTGTTAGTTAGATCCAGTGACAAGACCCAAAGAGTGTGAGTTCAATACCCGGTTAAGGCAGTGAAGAACTTTCAGAGGGAAAAATTATCAATATCAATATATATATATATTGATAATATTAGTGGTAAATATACACATACATATGCAATCATATATCTAAAATATATAAATATATATACATGCATATATATTTCTATAAAAAAAATTCCAAGAGGATAGAATCCAGGTAGAACTTGATGTCCAGGACAGATTAAGGATATAATAAAAAGGCTTAAGCTCTAATATTCCATGGTCATAATTTATTCCATTGGAATCGTAAATACGATCCAATTCATCAGACCATTTTGAATTTGTAGGTCTGATAAATTGGATCGTATTTACGATTCCAATGGAAATAAATATGACTATGGAATATTAGTGTTTAAGTTTTTTTATATATATATATATATATATATATATATATATATATATATATATATATATATATATATATATATATATATAT